CCGCTCTTCAGTGACTATGCATTTACTTTATTTTGTTGTTTTGTTGTGTTGAGAGAACTTTAGAAGGTCAAATTTTCATAAGGCAGATTGTATTGTTGAGAAGATACTATCCAGAGATTTCATCCTCATTTTGCGAGAACTTTTTGATCTGGGGTTCGAGGTTTCCTAAAGGTGCAATCCCTTATGGTTAATTACCCCGCCCGATAACAAAAAAACACTTTCAATTAAGGCTAGTCATTAAGAATTGAATATTCAACATACAGTAGCAACAAACATAGAATTTAAGTTGCAAAATTTATCACTTAAGAAGCTTAAAACAAATGGTGCAAGAAATGATGTTGAAACCCGATCAAGATCCCGAGCTTCTGTCGTCCCTGGTTGTCACGGTCTCCGATCTACTTACTAAGAGAAGACAGTCTACCAAACCTGACTGAAAAATCCTTGCCACCAATCATAAGTAGCATCATCCATAGGTCTTTGTAGATCTTGGATGGATATTTTTTGAAGTGGGCAAATTTAAATAGACCTTAGCTAACAGAAAACCATGTCAATCAATTATACACTTGTGATTCACAACTCAAATGATAGAAAGCCACTGAGGAACATACGAGTTGCGACCCTGACCATAATATAATGGTTTCATTTAAAGACAACCACCAAGTCAGAGGGCGCTGTCTCTAGTTCTAGGGAAAAAGCCAAAATACATAGTGTCAATCCACACGATAACCATTACATCAAATGGTTCTAAAAAGAGAAAATAAAGCAAAATACATGAGAGCCCTAAAGAAAAAACCAAAAAGTGTCAAAATATGGAGTATCAGGAAGCTAGAGAGCGACCCGATTTTGTCTTGCCTCTGCCTCTAGTTCTAGAGAAAGAGCCAACTAATAAATTGGTAATATGAGTGTCATTGCCAGTAGTAACCAATGTATCATCCAATAAATTCCCGAGCTCGAGTCGGTCTCCGTTCTTCTTCTTCCTCCTCTTGGAATAGATCTGTCAATCCTCATCCGAAGATTGACTCACCTGATCAGTGGAATGGTCTAAAGTGTATTGGACATGTGCAGGTTGTTGAACATTAGAAGCAGATACTTGTTGTACCAGCTGAACTTCTATCGAATCGAATGAGCACTCTCATGTGTCTTAGCATGTAAGTGGACATTCTTCAATAACAATGAGTGATATTAACACATTTGGATCTGTATCGGTAATATGATGTTCTTCATCTGAAACTGCGGTGTTGGAAAGATGCTCGAGTTGCACATTCTCAGCAGGGATGGTAGGTGGCTGATTTTTAGCGATATTCAACTTTAGATAAGGATGCAAGCGATAACAAATAGTAGAATTATGACCAAACATACTACAATGAGAGCAATAAGGAAGGTGTAGTTCTAATTCAACATTTTGCCTATACCCGTTGTAAGTAGTGTCAATACATACCTCATATAGAGCTGGTTGAGTAATATCTCTCTCAACTAATACACAAGCCACAAAGTGTCTGGTGACAGCAAGCGTAAGACTATCAACCTTTAGAGGTTTACTGTAAGCAGTTGCTAAATAGCAGAGAATTTCCATGTTGAACAGATATAATTTTAACCTCGGTGACTTTATCCAAACAGGAATGATAGGGGACTCTACTTTTTGATCAAAATCAACAGTCCACTTCAAAATTTTCATAAAACGGTAGTCGATCTTGAAAACTTTTCTAGAGAAAATGCGAGTGTAATCGTCATTGTGAGATAACTAAATAAGTATATGTCGACCGTCAAGTAAGCCAATATTTCAACTGCCCAATAGATTCATAGCATCAAACTCGTTTCGAATGATCTCCAATTTTAGGTGACCATAAAGGAATTTCTCCACTAGAGCAAAACACCAAGAGATCACGAGAGTACTGGTTTCAACCTAAGTGAGAATAAGAGCAGGTTTCCCATGTTGTTTCCCATGTTTTTTTGCCAAATTTTTTAATGAAAGTGTGATCACTACCACCTTCAATAGCGTCGTGGAAAGATTGATGAATATTGCAGGAAATATTGCAGGACTTGTCAATATGAAAATCAGACTCTGAACCTGAAAGAGGAGTGAGTAGGAATAAGAAAGTGGTAGGAATATTAAAGTCGTCAGCAAGTGCATTGACATAGGAACGCATCGTCGAGGCCATAGCAAATTCCGTAGCTGTCGGTGTCTCCTGCTGA